TTTCTCATCAAATTTTAAACATATATTTTTATTAAGAGAGAGAGAGAGAGAGAGAAAGAGAAAGAGAAAGAGAGAGAGAGAGAGAATATGATTGAAATTTTTCATTACCTTTTTTTCCTTCATCTTTGATTACTTTTGAGTTTAATTTTTTAGTAAATTATTAATTTCAATTAATTGTATTTTCCTAATTAGCATCATTATTAATAAATGTAATATGCGATTTATTTACATTAATTTGAAATATCATTTGGTATATTTTAGGCAAAAAATTTTCTTATAGTAATAATTTGAAATGCATGAAATTTTTTTTACAACTTATATATCCATTCATTTAAAGTATGCATTTTTGCTTGAGATTTCATTACATTTCGAATATTTTTTTATCCGTTAATTCGCATACGTCAATTCCGGTTTTCCGAATAATTTATCAATTGAAATAAATCTAAAAGGATACTTTTAAGAAGGCGAATCCTTCAAAATTTAAATATGACAAATAAACAAATAAGAAGGATGAATATTTTCCATTTTAAATTGTTTGAGAAAATAAGATAAATAGGAAATGTATGAGAAGTTTATCGAAATGGAGCGGAACATTATTTCTATTTGAAATCAAATTTCAATTAATGCATAAAATATGTTTGCGGAAAAAGATAGGCAAGAAAAGAGAAACTTGTTGTAACCAACCAGTCATGGAATTCCTTTCTTTAACCCATTGGGAGTAATGTAAGATAACTATGTACAACAGATACGCACACAAACCTATCACACACCTATGTGTAAATGATAAAACAGGTATGATACACACATACACACACACATACACACACAATAAATTCATTTTAGAAAGGTTCAGCAATTATTAGTTTTGCTGGGAGAAGAAATTGGAAATTTGATTAATATCGCCATTTTTACAAGTAGCTGAACGGATGAGAGAGCACAATGGCGATGACGATAGGTAGAATACGAATGTGTATGATGCACCTTTGGGTATTCTTCAATTCATTCATGCCGATATGATTAAATGACAAAATGCAACAATTGTGTGAAGTTGTGATTTAGCTCAACAGAATTATGGCATTGTGTTTGGAACAATTGGATATGAAATTTTTGTTGAAATTCTTTTGAAGAATGAATGATGATAGAGAAGATGTGTATATCTTAGTTAATTATCCAAATATTCATTCCTCTCACTTTTTTTTTCTTCTCTCCACTAGAAAGGGCCTAATATTAATTATTCATTAATTTGCTAAACATAATAATTTCATTTATTAAAATTGAATATAATTTTTGAAAAAAACAAACAAAAATATTTTTAGAAATGTTAATTTCATATTTTCGATGATAATTTAATGGTATTTAAGTGACAGATGAATAAGAAGAAGTATGATTATATATTGCTTTTCTATAAGGTAATAGGAAAATAATTGGATAATTAGATATTACGTAAATAATTAAGTAATTAGATAATTCAATAATTAGATATACAAGTTAAATGAATAAATAATTTTTCTATGATTTTTTATTCATTTCTCTCTAATTAATCTAATTTCTATTCATTTAAATTATAAATCTCCTCATTAAAAAAAAAAATAATTTTATAAAATTAAATGAATTCAATGAAAATTATAAAACAAAATTTCTTTTACAAATAACATATTCTAAACTAAAACTTTTTTCAACAATGAAATATGAAAATCTTTTTTGTTTTAACAAAAATATAAAATCATTTTCAAATTTTCATCAAAGTCATTTCAACTTCTAAAATAAAATAAATCCATCGTGAGAAGATCGGAAAATTCGATAAATAGGAAAAAGCGTAGAAGAAGAAGAAGAAAATAATTCTCATCAAAAATATAAAATAAAAATTCTTTTTCTTTTCAAAATTCATAAATTTAAATCATATAAATATTTGACGACTTTTTTTGAGTTGGATGAGAATGATAGTTTTTGATGATATTATAATATTGCTGCCAGTCGGTCTTCCCCCTCCCCTTTCCCTTCCTCCTCCCCCGCATCATTTCTATTATATCATAGAAGAAAAGCAAGTTTTTCGTTATGATGAAAAAATAAGTTTAGTAGATCTTTTACATTGCATTTCAAAATATTTTCTTCTTCTTTTTTTAAACGAATAGTTTTGGTGAAATAATTCCCTTCTCATTCTTTTGTTAAAAAATAATAAATCATTTTGTATCAGCTTTTAGCATCATTTCAATGTATGCATGTTTCGTTTCACCTCATCGAAATTCACCATTTTTCTTCAATTTTTGTTGTGATAACTTTTTTCCTTCTTTTTCTTCTTTTTTTTGTTGAAATTTTCTTATCAATGAATGAATGAATGAATAACCGATCCGTCGTATCATCATTCTCCTACATTCTCTGTATCGTATCATCATCATTCTCCTACTTGTTCTGTACCAATTTTCAATTGACATTTTAATGTAAGTTGAAAATGTCCTAATATTCTTGTTTTTTGTTGGTATGAATTCTATTTGTATTAATCAAAATTAGTTCAAATAGTTTTTCCACATTTTAAAATGTATTGAATCATTTCAAAAAGTTACATTTTCTTTTTAAGCAAATTCATTTAAAACATCGTTTCTTTTTCTTTTCTCTCTCTCCCTCTCTCTCTCTCTCTCTCTTTCGTTTTATTTTAAAAGAATTAATCAACAATAACAAAATTTTGCAAATAGTTTTGATCTGATTTATCAGATATATGATAATGATGATGATGATGATGATGATGATGACTCATCCTGGGATAATTTTTGCAGGAAAAAAGAAAGGAAAAAGATTAAATGTGAAATATTTGATGTGTTTATTTTTTAACAGGTAATTTTACGTGAAACAAAACTGATACATTTGTATTTCCAGTTTTGCTGACAGCTTTTTTCTTTTTCTTTTTTGCAAAAGAGCTATTTCAATCTCAAAAATGTTATAATTAATTCTTTCCCTAACATTTATTGCTTTTCCTCTTGCAAGATGAAAGAAAAGAAAAAAAGGAATGAAAAGAAAATGCGTAAAAATTTGAGCAGAATAAAAAAGGAAAATTTAAGAATCATTAATCAATTTGCTAAGCAAAATTTTCTTCTGCATTATTGTGTAGCATTCATCTGATACACTCAAAATTGCCCCTATGATTTTAAATATTAATTAATTACGAGGAGTTAAAGCTTAATTGAGAGTTTCAAGAGTAGAAGGAAACATTGAGTGAAGATAAGATGAGGAAAAGATGAGGACTTCTCAAATCTTGCTCTATTGGCCAATGATCTTGATCCTATTGATTTGATCAAGATTTATTTTGTTGGAAATTAGTGATAAATTTTGCTAAGCTTTTGATTAATTCTCAAATCTTGCTCTATTGACCAATGATCTTGATTCTGTTAATTGGATTAAGATTCATTTTGTTCGAAATTAGTGATAAATTTTGCTGCTAAGTTTTTAATTAATTTCATTCTGTTAGTGATTTCTCAATCATTGCACAATGAAACATTATTTCTCAATCAGATAACATTTCTTCATCTCTTCTTATTTTCCTTAATTTTCATCCTTGGCCATTTTCAATGCATATTTACTCATATTATTAGGCTTAATAGCAAACTTGCAATTAGATTTATTATTGAAAATTAATGATAGTTTATGGTTTTCATATCGATTAAAAAAAATGACACATTTTTAGCATTTTTAAAGCTTAAGAATCGTAGAAATCTTTTGTTTTATCCAATTTATTCAATTTAACAAAATTTTACATCAAAAAAAAAGAATTGGACATATAGATATAACGCTGTTATGCACACAAATATTCTCTTCTTCTTCATCGCTTTTGAATAATATTAAAAAATAGAGATAGAAAAGATAACAGCAGTTTGAACGGATACATTTCAGATACGGATCAATCTGATTTTTATTCATATCACTATTATATCATCTCTCGAAAAATTTCAGTCATCAAAAAATAAAGTGAAATTCGGAATGAAATTTATGCTACTTTTGGTATTCACGTCAATCTAATAAATTTTCATATTCCCTTTGTCTAAATTAGAACTGAAGCTTTCTTTTTAATCTATAATGTGCTTAATCTTGATAGAATATTAGAAACAATAAAGGTCAGTGAAAATTGAATGCAATGGAGAGAAGATACAATTATTGTAATTAAAGCTAAGAGATTTGAGTTAGTTCGAACAATGGAATACCTCCAAATTAGTATGGAATAATGATCGCTGAAAATTTATAAACAATAAACGTACGGCTACGTAATGGTTCAACTTAACGTGTTATCCACATGCGAACACATGTGATTTTCACAATTTCATATCACTTCTCATCTGTGATATTTAAATTTTAAAATTAAAAAAAAATTAAACTCTTCAGGAAAATCGACAATAAATAACGAAAGCTCCACGTATGTCTAACATCTTTTTCGCTCTCTTCTTCTTTTCTCTCACCTATTTCCATTCATTCTTCCCTTATTTCTTTTCTTCCTCAACCTCTTCAAACTTTCTATCATTATTGCACTTTTTGCCGAGTCCATCTCACCCTTTCTGTTTTGTGAGTTGCATCGCCGTCTAGATCTATTTTTTGCTAACCGTGCATTTGTTGTTAAAATTTAACACTTTGCGGTAAGTTATAAGGTGTTAGTAAGTTTACGACGTTCAGTTCAATTTTAAACGTTTAGACCAAAGGTTACGATGAAAATTATACGTATAATTTATATTCGTTATATTCTTTTTTTTTTTCGCTAATGTTATAATAATTTTTATTGTTGCAAGGATCATCATTTAACTCTATAATGGCGTTTATATTTATCTGAATGTTTAAATAATGAAATATTTCAAATAAACGTCTTATAAATGTTTATTGAAATGATTCGCGTAGCTTTAGGATACTTCTCAAATATATTGCTAAAATAACTATTTAATGGAATCAGCACATAGGTATCCATTTCCAGGTTGGCGTTACTTCATTCTGGAGCATGAAGGGATGTTAGTAGCGCGAACAAAGTCATGACAACAACATATTCAATACATCCTCCGGGGGCAACAGCATCAAGAGGACTTCTGTCTCATCATCATCATCATCATTCCCACTCACCGCATCAGCAACATCGACGTCACCAGCCATCACCCCTCGATTCCATCCGCACTACTGCAACGATCATAACACCATTATCTTTGCAGCGTATTGTTAACGGTACTGACGGTATTGCTGCTACCGCAACTCCACCTGCTACTATTGGGGTTATCCCACCACCGCCACCACCACTACCACTTCCGTTCGACACTGGTGCTGCACCGAATCCTGCTATCGCTGCCCTGAACGGTACGATCTGTAGGCCATCCTCATCGGACTGTGGTGGCTCATCATCCGGTCTTGGTGGTATGACTAAAACCGATATCATATCATCCGACGAATCATCGCTGGCCAGGTTCTTCTTTCTATTTCATCTTCCCTGTTCAAAAACCTGTATATTCTTGATTGTTAGAATATGATAACATCTAGCTGATATCGGTACCTATTTAATGAAGTGATGCTGTAGATTACTATGCAATCTTTCCTGCTTGATTTATTCTTTCACATATTTCGTGGTAGGACTGTAGGATTAGTTTGTCAGGATAAAAATAAAGATAGTAGTCAGTTGTGATTTGCAAAAATGTTGGGAATTTTTTCATCCTGAAGTTTTAGCGGATTTTAATGTCGAAAATTTTTATTTGGCCCAAGTAATAGTTATATCTACCTTTTTGTCGAGGACAAAGCGCTTTCGTTGAACCTTTATGAAGGATGTTGCATTTGATCATTAAAGTAAATTATCTAATTAAAACAAACCAAATCAGTTCTGTGCTACGAAATTTTTTTATTTGCTAGATAAGAGTTAGAAACATAGCTTAGTGGATACGGATTTCGACTTTTGTATCACTTCACGTTTGATGATAAAAGATATATATCTTTGCCATTAGATTTCTTGATAACTGGATATCAGAATTTATTGTACTAAATATCAGAATTTATGATCTAAAATTCACAATTGTTTTTTTCAATTCATTGTTTCTGGAAAATATAAAATTTTTTCTCATAACATTTGCGATTGAATAAATTCCAAATTACCAGAAATTCTGGGTAATTGATTGGGAGATGGAAATATGGAGGAGTTTATATTATGTTGATATTCTTCCGAATTTATGATATCCGTCGGACCAAATGAAATTAATTCATGGAAGGAATACTAAGTATATTATGACTCATTTTTTCTTACTATGGTGCCGTTCATTTCATATTAAATCATTTGCACTTTTTGTCGGTCAACGTGGAAGATATCGGAATTGACCTAAAGCTTCTTTTTATTTACAAAAATCTGTGTTTTCTTTTTCTAAGTAGTTTTCAACTAAGAAGACATTGAAGACAACGATTATGATGCAAGGTCAGCAGTAATTTCATTAAGCAGTCATTTTGATGGTACATATTATATCTGTAACTAAAGTTATAACATAAAAATTGAATAGTTTAGTTTGATGAAGTTTAGCTGATGAGCTTCATTTCATATTTCGCTGCGTTGCGGTTTATCGGTTTTTTTCCAAACACTGTGACAGACAAAGCTTCCATCGAAAGAATTGCGACTTAGTTGAACTCTCACACAACATTTTGCTAGAATATGTCGTTAATTTTTTCAAGAATTTCTCTATTTCCTCTTTTAAAAATTTCGAAAAAATGTAAACTGGTTAAAAATTAACAACCTCAGCAATATTGTTGGTATTAAACTTTTTATGATTCTTTTGGCAAATAAAAAACGAAAACTATTCTTACATAAAATCATTACGGTACTATTTTGGTGTTTTACACTCACTCAGTTATCATTGTGGATTATTCATCTAGGTCCACAGTCCAAATATTTCACTTCACTTAGTGAACAAAGTTGAGAAATATTTGATCATTTTGTAAACCAAGAGAAATTAGTTAAAACGTGCATACTTTTGGGCTTGCATTGCATTCTATTTAATTTCCGATGAAATTCGTAGAAATTTCAACTTACACTCTCTTATCTGTAAAAGTTACTAAATTATTTTGCTATTTTCGGTATTCTAATGTGATTTCATTATATGGACAGTTTTTATGTCCGTTCCTTGGGATTTTTTCTTTATCCTCATCCTCTCTCTGCTTTTACCATAGTTGTTACCAACTGATATATCAACGTATTAGAGAAAAGTCAGCAGATTATTAATTTTAAAAAGAATGGAAAAGATAGCACGAACAATGCATTAAACTGCATGCAAGTTATATTACCTTAAATAGCTTCAAACTGGGTGGTACACTACTGTATTGAATAGTAAAAGGATTGGTATCGGAATTTATTACTGCTATAAATCAGTTGAATTTTTTAGTGATAAATTATTTGCAATTTAAAATGATTGGGGAAATGTCAGAAGGAACGCATTTAAAAAGAATCTAAAAATATTTTTTTCTGATTACCAGCAGCAGATCTTTGTAATTTACAAAACGTTTAACATATTTTGTCTCGGGAAGAATATGAGTAATAAAAAAAGACCCACAATATGTCGAACAGTTTTGTTGGCATTAGGCAATACAGTGAGCTAGAAAAGTAACAGGAATTTTTTTATTTTTCAAAATTTTCACTTCACTTTTATTAGAATTGTGGTAATTTTACTAAAGTTAAGTATGGGACGAAATGCCACACAATCTTATGTTTTGGAACATTGATCCATTACATTATTTCCATTTTATAATTGCATAACTTAATGTACAGTCTTTTGCAGTTGGTAAATTACAAATAAAGTAAGGAGTTAGTTTTCATGCTTCAATCATTCCTTTCTCATTTCCTCAACATTGTGACCTCATCGATGAGGTAAGCATAGAACGGAGTAAAAGGTACTTTTCACAAGTACATTTTACATTTTTAAAATTCCGTCTTGAAAATAGGTGCCCTATTAAATCTCCAGTTTGTGATTTGCTTAAGTAAGAATGCTAATTTTTTTTGAATGCAGTAGTCAATGAAATGAACTGATCAGAGAAATATTTGTTGGATTAATAGTATTTAACTACGATTGTAATTGCACAGAAGTTTATTAGCGATTAAAATGTAGATATTGAAAGCGTATATTCCACAAAATGTGAGTAGGATGTATGCAATTTCCTGGATGCCATTACGTTCTGGATTCTTAAGTTATGTCAAGGTCACAGAGCAGTAAGTATTAGGTAAAAAAATGTTTATAAAGTAATCAGCAATTAGAAGGACAGAAAAGAGAGAACAGGCATTGCTTTGAGTCAGGTAGAAATAAGGGAGAGAATGCTTTCAGCTATCTTAGGTAGCAAGACTGTTTTCGGACTGAAAAGCGAAGAGTTATTGGCAATTAAAATTTAAATCGAAGTAAAAGATTACATTCTGGATATTATTTCTGTAAACTAAAATTCTTAGGATGATAAGTTTATAAATTTGGTTTTGTCGACTAGTAAAAGGTTAATCTTTCATTCAAGCTCATCCATCAAAAGCAGCAGAAAACGGTAGACTAGAAAGGCGATGACATACAAACTAAGAATATAGTCTGTGAATGAAAATTTTCCATTTTCCATCTTCCACTACAATAATGCCAAAAATTGATGAAAAAAACGGAAGCAAGATGTGTTCTTTAGGATGCTGCATAATTCTAATATCATCTGAACCCAAGACCCTGAATCCCGCAGTGATGTTACCGTATATTAAATCGTGGATTATAATAATTAATGAAGAAGGTACTAATTCCTGAAATTTTTTTTGTTGTGTCTTTTTTAATTTCCGGGTAGTACTGTATTCCATTATGTCATTATTTTACAGTTGGTATTTGCTTCGATTGACTGTTACTGTCGCTTGCTTGTTATCTGCATTTCCAAAACAAAAATTATTAATGATTGGTCTAGGAAAAATTTTCTTAATAGTACTGCGGAAGTCATCATCGTTACTCATTTTATCATTTTTCTTTTTAATTTCTTACCGTTTTTCTTCTTCTCCCTAATATTATTAATAGTATGTTAGGAATGACTGAACGTAAGTTTTTCTTCAGGTTTCTAAAACATTAAAATAAGGCTAACAGTCATGGAAATGATTAATATAATAAACAAGAAAGTACCATTATTTTTGCATTTTTAATACTTCAATAGGATACAGGGAGGAGCAGAACAGTGCATTCATTTCTTGAAAAGACACAGATCATTAAAATAACAATTTTCGACAAATCGCACCGAACCTGTTTTATGACTACTGTTAGTATTTCGGTATCATGTCCCTCGTATCACTGAGGCACCACTAGATCATTCTGTTAACTCTTAATACTAAAACCTTTGATGGAAAGAAGAAGTGATTGGTAGAAGAAAGAGGAAAGGAATCAACGAAGAAATTAGAGTCAGTACTTAGGTTTTTTATTGTTCACTAAATTTTCCAAACATTTCTCATTAGCAATAGCGATCCTAAATATGACTTATATGTTGACCTCTGAAATCGAAGCTACGAATTATACTTATTCTTGAGTTCCAACTCATATGATTTAGATCAAGTTTCCTTTCTCTCCACCACCAATGTTTTAGATCAAAAACTGAGTGGAAGATGAAAATTTAAGGATTACAGAACATTAACTACTGAAAATATTTTGCTTTCATGGTAGTTTCATTGCTTTTAAATCGGCTCAAGCAAATATCTAACTTTAGTTAATATTCCACTTAAATTAAGTCGAAATCATACATAAATTTTTAATTTTTAGATGTTAGCAATTTGCTCGCTTTGTTTCAATTTTAAATTCAGAAATATTTGCAAAGTCACTCCTTATTTATTGCATCATGCTTCCGAAATGGCTGAACTACACCAGGCTTCTTTAATTAAAAGTGACCAAAGTGTACTGCATCTGAATTGCAGACATAATTCGTAAAAACTTCTGTTCCAAGTCAAATAATCCAGTCCATTTCGGTTTTTGCGGAGAGGATAACGAACAAGTATAACTGTCCTTCACCCATTTGACTTATTTGTTGAATTTATTAATGTATTTATTTGCAGTGACGCACCAGTGGGAGTAAGGAGTGCTTGGGTGATACCTCACCCGGTGCTTCTGAATAACGGCGTACTACCAATGTTCATGTCATGCAATGCTGTTCCAACGTCTTCCACCTCGCCAACTCCTATGTTTTTTGATCACGGTATTTTCATTTGAATTAAATATACACTGAGTCGAAGTTTATGGCCAATTAACCATTATATTATGCCCTGATTTCATCTTAAAGATAGATACAAAAATTTCAATAACAATTGTTCGAAGTATGTACATATCGGCAGACGATCACTCATCGTCATGCGCATCGCGAAGTCTGGAATGCTTTTTGCAAAGTTGCAAAGTTATGAGCTTTTACCAGTGGGAATGGTATACCTTCCCACTGGTATATATATATATATATATATATTTATATTTATATATATACCCTGAAAAACACATCTAAGATATTTGTTTTGTAGGAAATATTTCTTTCTAAACAAGTTTTCAACGATATTACGTGGTTATTTGCATTTTTTATCTATCGTTAATGAATTTTGCAAGATTAACTATCATTAACAGCAGAATTAGAATAATTGATTGGAGATGAACTGAAATATCACAGTATTTAAGTTAAGAA